AAAAAACACACGAAAATATAAATCGCGACCGACCAACGCACACATGCACATGAATGAGAAATCCAACAGACAACACCGAATACCAAACGAACCATTTGTGTTCAACGACAAGTGACGAATCAAGCCGATTCGATGGAAGTCAACAGCAACGGCGGCAACAGCAGCAGCAACAGCAGCAGCAGAAATAGCAACAACAACAATAACGCTGCCGATAGAAAGCAACAATGTGAAAAAAAATACCAAACGCGCAATACGATCGCGCTGCGCATTTAAAGCTTTGGAATAAAATTCCATTTGATATGCACAATGGCCCAACATGTAATAGATTCAGTTGCGTCGTTTATGTGAAACTTACGGCTTGGCTTGTTCAAGTTTTTCAAGTGAACATATATTAAGCGCAGATTGCACACGCAATCCGATTTCTATTCACAGTGTTCTTGCGAAGCGTAAGTTTTACACCCATTGCAAATGACGTCAAATGAATAAGCCATAAATTCTTGTTTGGCATAGTCAAAAAGGATCGCATTGACACGGTCACACTCGGCCGCTGAGAATGAGATGCAAAGATAAAGGAACGAATGAAATGCAACAAAGGCAATCCAACAATTCGGTGACCATTGTTGAAGATCATTGCTTTTTCCCATTTTCTCAAATTTTGCAATGAACGTAAAAAAAAACTTTTTCATTTGCTTCAAACTATAATTGAATGGCATTTGTTTGTGTTGAAAAATTCGCAACGCATACATTGAATGGCGATGGTAGTAGACGTCGATTTTTCGATTCACAGAGCTCTTCCACACTCACTCACCAACACACATGTACATCTACCTCTACTACTTTAGATGGTCGCGTCTGATTCATGGAAATATGGCACTTATGGTGACTGTGTGAGCGTCGTGTTCATTGGTATTTGTTTAATCATCATCTCGGCATTTTTTTTTTCATTTGTTGCTTGATGGTTTGTGTGCTTATGTACGTACCACAGTGGGTAGATATGCGCATGTTAATGTGTCTGCGACTTTGTTGGTCGTTGTTCGACTGTATGCGTTCATTTAATTACGACAATCGGATGTGCTTTGGCTTCCATCTTTGCTTATACACTGAAATTATAAGTCAGTGATTGTGGTGCACTACATAAAAACGACGTAGACTGGTTCCGTCCGACATTTTGATTCGATTCGCCTTTGTATTGCTTGTCTTACTGTCGGTCGTTTCAGTGGATCTAAATACGTAAATAGATTCTGTACGACGTCATTTAACGAACAAATGCGGAAATCGGCAACATTTTTATGCAATGTACGTGCGATACATAGTTTATTTTTAATATCTTTGCATCCTTAAGCTCATTTCATAATAACAAAATGACAAAAAAAAATATTTTTTTTTTTTTCAAAATTATAATTTTTTAAATGAAAATCGGAAAATTTCCAAAGAAAGGTTTCAAATTTTTTTTCTCTATTTTTCTTAATCAAAGCGATAATGAAATGTAATGCCTTTTACAATACACAAAATCATAATCGCATAATTACAATCGCATAAAACGATCATAAATTCTATGATTTCAAGGCATTGATGTATGATGCAGGACATTGTTTGCATAAATATGCGATTAAACGATCATCAATCGAACATTAGCGTATGGATCATCAACATTTATTACAAAAACAGTAAAATATAGAACAAAAGCAAACTCCATCGAAGCCATCGGCAACGCATTCTTTTTCTTGATGTAGCGCTCTCATTGCATAAATACATTGAATGTAGCTTACGTGCCGTTTGATGTGTTTGTGTCTATCTACCAAAAATTAACTACCGAATTGGTAGTGCTTTTTATGCGGCTATCGCACTACCAGTGACTACCACCGGTCGCGTTCATTGTTGTCTCTGTTCGACTAGTCATTCCAAATCGTCCATAGTTTGTGGTGTTTTCCTTGTTTTCGCTATTTTTCTCATTACATACATATTTTCGTTTAATTGTTGGTCGTTCGGTCGGTTGGCAGCGCTCTTTAACACTCACATTGATACGAACGACACACATGTAAGTGTATAACCATCGCGCATACAAAGAATATTGCATTTGTGTGTTTTTTTTTTCTTTGGTTTTCGGATCTCTCTTGTGCTGAACGGCAAACATGGGCTAAAGTACATAAGGTATTGCATGCGTATGGGTGCGTTCGCTGTTGTTCGGCTCGACGACGCTCATGCATGCGTGTGTCAATGTGTGTGTTCGCTTCGGTTTATGTGTTCGTCAACGGATATAGATGATGAATGCAGCACAGTCAGTACGATTACGGTATCCGAAGCGAAAAGGTATACACATCTCACGACACAATTTTTTTTCTTCTTTCAAATTAAAATTTCTGTGTGCTGCTTCGCCATTCAGTTCGCTCGTTTCAGGTTCGTGTATTCATATTCTCACTCTCTTCTGAAGTACGCTATTATACATTTGTACGTATCTTTCCTGACTTTTTCACATTTCTTCTTTCGTTGTTTTCGTTGTTGTTGCTTTCGCGTTGTTGTTTCGGTTTGGTTCTTCAGTTGCTTTTTATTCCAAATGTTCAATTTTATGATAGTTTTTTTTTCGTTGCTTCTCATCTCTTCAGCAATTGTTTGGGTTGTTTTTTTTCATTCGATTTTCTTTTTAGCATTTTTTTTCTTCGATATTTTTGTGGTGTTTTTTATGGGGGAATTTCGGCAGAGTGGTTCAAATGCAACGGTTAGATTTAATTGGTAACAAGATTTTCAGTGTCTCATCTATATTTGTTACGTGTGTGATGGTGTGTTCGACTGGCATGTTGCCGTGCTCCGTAATTAATGGATGGAATGGGATAATGTGTAATGTTTGGTTGTGACTTTATCGGTTCGCTTTTCTCTTGCTCGCAGGACCTATTCTAAACTGTTTTGTCGTGTGTGCGTGTATGTGGTACGCTTTGCCACACAGCGACCGACTGTGCATATGCATACAGTGCACATTAAGCATAACATGGATAAATGTTCTCGTTCAATGGACGGATGCATTGTGTGTATCGTATTCGGTAAATCGCGTCGTTGCTGGCGAATCGTTGACGTTGGAAAATATAAAAAGCATTGATGCGTATTGGTGTGCTCGCAATATGTTTTGTGAATCGTACGCAGCAGCGGTGGAGAAGCGTACAATTTGATGAGAGCGCCACAATCACCGAAAAGGGGAAGCTTCCTCATTGACAAAAAATTGTCAAGTGAAATTTCTATTAAAAGTGACAGTGTTTTACGTGATTTGTACGCTAACGGACAGCTGACCCAATCGTACGCTTATTCTACAGCATGCCATTTTCAATGGATACGTTGACGTCGCATGGAATGTTGCATTTTCGCGCAGTAGTGCATGTTTGCCACCCACTTTTACGCCATCCAAACTCAATTCGATTTGCATATCGGCGCACTTTAATTATTCAGTGCAATCAATTTCATTAAGTTCGGTTTTCTTTCAGTTCTTCTCTCATTTTTTTTCTTCTTCGCTACACACATTTCGATTGGCATTTGGTGTGCTTTGTGATCTCTTTTTCTTGCAATCCATCGAATGCAGCACGCATTTCAAACTATTTCATTAAATTCATTTAGCTACTAGTTATTTGTGGTGTTTATGAGCGTTACGCGTAGAATATGGAAAGCGAAAATCTTGATGCTCGTGGTCGATTAAGACAATAAAAGTAGCTTCAGCAAATTGCTACTTCAGCTACGTGTTTTGCATTCTACACACACATACACACACACATTCCAGCAGCGCCGCCGTGCTTCGTTTTCCATCAAATTTGCAAATTTCTATTTATTTAGCCGTATTTTATCTATTTGTTCGGCCAAGCCTTGTGATTTATCTTTTTTTTTAATCTCATTTTCTATGTCTTGTAAATAATTCAGCTAACTTCAAATCCAGGCACCGTCTGAGTTGATCAGTCATCAACAGTTAAGCAGAAAAATTCAACATTAACGGCTTACTGTATGGTAAAATTATGGTGGATTTTCTAAAAAAAATCATCAAAATGAGTATTTCCTATGCACACAGATGTTTTTCGACAAATATACATGCACAGATTGAATGTGTGGTATCGAGCATAATTGTGAGGCTTATCTATTTCGTTTACATAAAAATAACGAAGGAAATTTTATTCCTTTATCTCAGTTATTGTTATTTCTCTCGTTTCTACCGCGTTCCACTTTTACTGTATTTCTTTCTGTGCTCTCTCACTCAGTCGCTCGCTCACTCAATCTTGAACGCTCACATTGCTGGATCTGTGTCGCTTGTGATGTGTATAAGGTTTTCTACACTTGTGTTTATTTACCAAGCAACGCTTTCGAAGAGATTTTACATACACATACCGAAGACTTTGCATTTATAATTTACCTGTTTGAACAGTCTGATTTCAAGGGAAAAAATAGCATTTTCAGCAATACTTCACACAAATACTTCATACAAATTGACAGAATTGTAAACAAACCCCAAATCATATTCAACGTCTCATCGTCTCTCAACTTGTTGATCTCAAATATGTACAAATGCGTGGTATCGCTATCGCTTGAAATATATACATTCCATCGTCACATTGCTTCGCATCGGTTTGGTAACGAAATTGGAATAATATTTTGGTTGTTGTGACGCTTTGTCGCTTGAAATCAAAGCCATCGTTTGATTCGGTGTTATTGTTGTTGTTCTTTTTTTTTGTTTTCATATTGAAATGTTTTGCTTAAATTTCGGTTTGTTTCTGTGTGCGTATGCGTTTTCAATATTTGCGACTCTTTCACTTTCCCCTTTTTTCTTCTTCTCTGAATAAAAACATCACTTCTTTGACAACCACCGACCGACATGGACCAAATACATTCAGCTTCATTGTTCATTCGACAGACTCTGTATGAAGAAATACAAATGTTCCCATTTATATCATAAACAAGTTAATATATATTACGATTTCCTCTTTCATTCGCACCATGTTAATTGAATATTTTGTCTAATTTGGTTTTTGCAGATATTCGATTTCGAATGCGACGTGGACGAAAAATACTGTTTGCATTTGGTGACGATTCGGAAGAAGTCGTAAACAAGGCTTCATCATAGGATCAAAACAAAGTAATCAGACAAACGCAATGGCAACTCGTAAAAGTCGCCAAAACACCGAGTCTCCAACACCATCTGGAACAGAAAGTGTGCCAACAACCCCAACAACACCAGCCACACGCAATACGCGCAGCATACGCAACAAGCAATTGCAACAGGGTAAAACCGAAGACACGTCGATACAGATCAAAACCGAAAAAATTGACGAAGAAGAGGCTGTGAAAGAAACAAACAATGATGAAGAGGTCAGTACGGCAACGGCATCTGCAACAGTAACGGCAACAGCAACAGCAACAGCAACAGCAACAGCAACAGCAACAACAACAACAGCGATCACATCGAATGCCGCTAATGAAAAAGTTGAAACAAAAGAATCCTCAGAGCAGAATGACAAAGAGAAAGAAACGTCGCCGCCGGCTGCATCGACACGGAAGCGACGCATAGCGGCTGCTAAAGAGGAAATCAGCACGGAAAAACCGGCGCCAAGCAACGACTCGGTTAGTCCAAATACACCCGATGATGGTAAAACATCACCGACAAAAAACAAACGCTCACGCCGAAGTGCATTCGAATTGCTGACCGACAGCAAATCCGAATCAAACCCAAATAACTTGAACAAACGACGGAATAGCACTGGTAAAATTGAGAAACCAACTCGCAAAATGTCTAGTCGTATCAAAAATCTCAAGAAGCTGAGAAAGACACCGTTGGGCCGAGCGCTGCTCAAGAAACCGGAAAGAACTGCCGTTGCGGTCAACAAACCCATTAAACAGTTGATCGAGAAACAGACGACAAAAGGCGCTAAAATTGAAAAGAGCGACAGTGCGTCTGATTCGGAGTTGATAAAAATGTCACGGCGTCGATCCGATTCAGTTTCCAAGTGTTCCGATATGACAGACGCATCAAGTTTCCACGAAACAAAGGGGTCAGTGGAGGATTTATTGACACAATCGTCCGAGACAAGCGAAGGGAAAGTGGTTGTTAAGGAAGAAATAGCGGAGAAAGATGAAGCCCAAGAGAATAAAGCACCGGAAAATGAAGTCGTTGGTGGTGATAGTGATAATTCACAAGTGGTCAAAACGGAGGGTGATCAATTGAATGATAGTAAACGATCGTCACGTTTCGCACGACGAAAAAGACCATTGACTCTGCCCAGAGTAATGAATACTCGTTCACGCAGCGAAACGCCAAGTAAGGCAGCTAGTGAAAATCAGGACGAAGATGAAGAGGAAACAGCTCCTGCGAAGGAGATCAAAAAAGAATCAGCCGAATCTGTGACCGAAACTCCGCTACACATTGACACAGCAGTCACAGCGGCCACAAATTCCGACGAAAAGCTATCGCCTGAAATTGAACAAGCGGACAAAGAAAATGCGACCGATGACAAAGCCAAATCGCTCAGTCCCGTTCTAGTCAGCGAGGGTGTTTCGGAAATTAGCGTAACGCAATTTTACGGCCGAGCCGATTTCCTTGAAAACAATTTGGGCATTGAGAAAGATCCGAAATTGGGTGAAATTGTTCAAATCCAGGAGAAAATCAAAGCGGGAAACAAAGAAAACGGTGATATGAATGAGAAAATTAGTGAAAAGAGTCCAGAAGAAAACTGTGTAAAACCCGAAGAGCCGAAGGAAACTGTTGCGGAGCCAAGTGAATCAAATGAGGTGGTTGAGGTCGATACGTCAACCGAAAGTATAGAGGTTGATGAAAATGCCGATGGTGCTAAATGTGATGTTGCGAATGATGCAAAAGATAGTGTGGAATCTTTTGTTAAACCGATCGAAACCGTTCGGCGAGATAGCGCAACCATTCTCAACGAAAATTTGCTAGTTTTGAATGGTGAAATCGAACTGACGTCGACTAAAGAAAAGAAAGAAGTGGTCAAAAATGTTGATGAAGACGTTGGCGAAGTCGTCCTGTACAAAATATCGAATGGAATGCGTGTAAATCCGGAGAAATTGGAAAAAGTTCTTGAGAGTCAGAAGCTAAAGGAAAAGGAACGAAGTGATAGTATTGAATGTGTTGAGCATGAGGCGAAAAGCAATAATGAGCCGAAGAGTGCAGATAAAAAAGACACACAGCCGGTTGATGATTCCACGAAAGTGGCTAAAGACGAAAAAAAGGTGAAACTTGATGAACCCGTTCGATCGAATAGCATCGAGACCAAAGCGACTTCGGATAGTGATACGATCAAAGCCAATTTGATTAAACCAGCTGCAGTTCGGAGTAACTGCAGCAGCAAAGATAGTCGATCAAGTAGTCTTGATGACGAATCTCCCGAAGAACGAATTCAAAAGGAATCACATTTAAAAACGCTCGGCCTATTAACCCATCAAGCAGCTGAAGAAGCCACAATCGAAAAGCAAAAGCAACGCGAAAAGATAAAGGCCAGCAAAGGGAAGAAAAATTCCGAATACACTGGAACATTGAAGACAGTCATCAAATTGCATCGCGGTACTAATGATAAGAAGAAGGGTAATCAATCGCTGAAAATGACTTTGCATAAGGGAAGAGCCAAAAATGGTTCCGACAAAAGTGACACACATTCGACAGCCAACTCTGAAGAGGACACGTATTACACCATTCAACAACAAGACATCGATGGCATTGGTAAGTGTTTTTTGCAAATTAATTCTCGCCGAACTTTCTCTTGAAGAAAATGTTTCCTTCTTTTTTGCAGATCACGAAGCTGACGAAGCAGCCGCCAAAGAACACGAGAAACTATTGGTCATCCCTGAGAAGGCCTCATCATTCCGGTATCACCCAGAGAAAATCTGCGAAGATCAATGCTTCTACTGTGGTGGTAAATTTGGATTATTTGACACACCTTGTCACATTGCTCAGATCAAATCGGCCGAACGTCAAAAGAAAATTTTGGAATGTAGGTTATGAAAAATTATGCTAAATTTTTTACAGTGCCAAAATTGGCTCAAATTTGAAATTGAACTAACACATATTCCATTCACGTCCATTTTCTCAGACGAGGAAAAGTTGACGGTTGACAGTTGTTTGTGTGATGCTTGTTTCCGGCATGTGGATCGTCGCGCCAATTGCCCCTCATACAAGAAACGACTCTCCAAACCGCCTAAAACAAATGAATCGAATGCAACCGGCGGCGACGATTCAGAAGACAAAGATGCAGAGGCGCTCTTATTCCAAAGCTGTAGAGAGGTTATCTTCTGCCAGGTTCATGACTGTAAGGAACAGGCATCGCAATCGGTGTGCCGTAAATGGGCGCTCAAGATGCGTAAGACTCTGAACAAATACATCCAACTTAACTGCGACAACACGACTTCAATGGCATTTTTGCCAATTTGTGATAAACACTACGAGGATATCAATCATTTGATGATTTGCTTGCTGTGCAATCGCCGTCTCACGCGAAACCACTGCTACTTCGTTCCACAGGTAAATAACATGCAGTATTTTAACATGCAAATTAAAGAATTTGCTTTTTATTTGATTGTCGTATCTTTTTCTCTGTGATTTAGGATGCAAACAAAGTCGAAACACTCGTTGCCAACGAAGGAATTCAACTACCTATTCGGACAACGTTCGTTGCATGCAAAATGTGCCGATTATTTGTGAATGTACTGATGCGACCGCAGGACGCAAAGAAGGCTGAATTTGTTCGGGATTACCGCAAACGGTACACATTTCAATTTTATTCGATAAAAAAAATTTATTCAATGGTAGCAAACGAAGACTAACAAAATGTTCATTTACGCATTTAGGCTTTTGGAGCATCATGGAAAGGTGGACTTGGTTGAAGAGGATTCGGAAGACAGTGCAAACCACGAACCGGCATCAAAACGTTCAAAACGTAATCGTAGATCGTTAAATGAGCATTCGGATTGTGGTTCATCGAAATCTTCACGGTCGAACGATATATCGATGGATGCAAATCAAGATTCAATGAACAATACCTCGACACGAACTCGCCAAAAGAATAAACAACTTACACAGCAGCAGCTATTAGAAGAGCAGCAGCGTGTGGAGAAACGCGTACAGCACGAACAAATGAAATTGAAACAACAGGAAATATTGCAACATCAGAAGGTGCAGGATGATTTACGCCAACATCAACTGCGTTCAAGCAGCGAAGACATATCCAATTTGCGAACAAACCCAAACATATCGATGCGCGAGCTATTCCCAGGCGAAGAGGAATTGGGACTGCACGTAAACTTACCGTTTGCAAATAGCTGGCGAACACCGGACGGATGGACAAAGGTCACATCGACTGTTCAGTACGATGAACCGACCAAAAAATTGTGGGAAGAGCTCGAAAAACCATACGGAAATCAGTCGAGCTTTTTGCGCCACTTGCTTTTGTTGGAGAAGTATTTCCGAAGTGGTGATCTTTTGCTGACACCAAATGCCAACCACAACGCAATCACCTATGCTGAATCGGTACAACATCGTCTGCAAGCATTCGACAACATCCCAGCACGTGCGGTCAGTATTACACAGATTCTGCCACAAAATACAACGACGCAGACAATCGCGGCCGATTTGGTGAATGCAAAATCCGTTACGACAGCCAATAAAGCGGTTACTATTTCCAAAGTGAGTGCTCCACCAAAACCGCCACCCGCTCTGAGCATAACCGCCAATCCAAAACCGAACACAAGTGACAGTGCATCGAATAGCTTGCTCAAATCGAATGTGGCACAATTACCGAAAATGCGAAGCTACACAGTAACTACTGAGCCGATAAATGGTGAAAAAACGGATTCTCCAAAAGTAAACAGTTCATCAAATAGCGGCAGTAATACAAGCACACCAAAGAACAAGAATCCAGGACTGCCGCCGGAATTGATTTGCATCACAACACCGCCGAACGACAAACATGGAGCCAACTCTGTTCCTCCATCGTATCAACTTCAAATGCAGCTAACGCTGCAACAGCAAATTCAGCAACAACATCAAAACTCATTGTTACTCTCACAGCAAACTAAGCAGTTGCTTCAAAACATGGTTCCGCAACCAATGGTTTCGAATGTTTCAAATCAAGTTAGTTCGCCGAAAAAACAAACATCCACCACGACCAACACCACCACCACCACAGCCACGACGAACAGCATAAACACAAATAAATCACCGAATCAGAATAGTACATCGATGTGCAAGGGAAATGTGATTCGTTTGCCGGATACATTGACCGATGCAGAACGACGCGAGAGCAAAAACTGGCGTCCAACATTGATTGCAATCACATCGGAGAATCGGAATAGCACCGATGGACAACTTTATCAAACGGTGGACGGACGCAAATTGCCTCATTTGGTGCAAGTTTTATCGAAAGGTAAACCCTATGTCCTATTTTTTTTTTTCATTTTCTATCGCCAATCTCAAATTTAAGTTTGATCAAGCAATGTTTGAATCTATGTGGTCATTGCTTTACCTTTAGTCTTAAAATATGCCTACTTTTCCATTTATCATTTGTTACTAGTTTCCATTAATTGCCCACTATCAGTTCGTTATATTGCTATTAATTTCATTTCTTCTTTCTTATTCTCCCCTCAGGTAAACCCTATATGATTTCCATTCATGACTACAATCGATTGTGCATTTTTCATCGTGAGAAGCTACTCAAAGAGCAGCAATCGGAAATATTGAAAAATAAGAGCCCATCAAGTGGCACCACATCTCAGACTGTTTCACCTGCATCTCAACGAACAACCACCACTACCACAACAACATCATCTGCCAATGCTGCAAGTTCGAGTGCGAGTATCGTAAATCAAAAGACGGTGATCGATGTGGATAAATTGATAAGACCACAGAATCATTCTAGCAATGGTCAATCGGCCAGCAAAGTTCATGTACCAAACAAAATTCTCGAACAAAACTCATTGATTCCGTTAGGTAGCAAGTCCAGTGAGAGTTCCAAATCAACTGACTCTCTGCTCCGATTTCGTTTACCGATCAAAAATAAATCGTCGCTGCTGAAGTCAAGTGTCGTTCCATCGAGTCAACCAAAGTCTGTAGTTGCAGCGCAGCATTTAGTTCCATCAAATACAAATGTGACAGCGACTGTTATGGCACAAAACTCACTGCCGAAGCTACCAACACCGCTAACAAATGCATTATCCCAATCGGGAATTGTTTCGATTACATCAACTCCATCGATATCGGCCATACTTGGCTTGACACAAGCGTCAACGCCACCGCCAATTCAAATTTCATCAATCATCCCGAATCAAACGCCACCAATTACCATCACCAACGTTACATCCGGAAATCTAGGCAATTTGACGAGTCAATCGAATGTTTCGTCACTAGAAGCTCTATTCCGCACCACAAACCAGGTGACAACAACACCAAGCACAATGCTAATGCAATGGGCTGAACAACTTAACAAAAGTAACAGCATCACTCCGATTGACAATTCGGCATCATCGATCCTATCGAAAATCCCAAAATCGCTAACAGTTATACCACAGCAGAAGTATAGGGGAGGCGACGAGTGAACACAATAATTATAATATATGCAGAGCGTCTCGATTTTCATTTCCACAACTCTATAACGTATACAATTGGAATTTAGTGCCTAAAATGTGTACCGAAATCATAATCATCTACAATTGTGATTGTGTCTCCAAAGCTAAAGCATTCAACATGAAAGAAATATAGCCGAAAATAAAGCTTGAAAATCAACATTCTTTTTTCAAAGAACACTTCTAACTGAGACAAAACAGATGAAACAAAGAAACAAGTGAATTTATCGGAACATTTATTTTTGTATATATTATTGGCACTAGCCTTAAGATTTTACACGTAAACTTAAGCAAAACTTGACTATTAGGCATAGAACAAATTCCTTTTTTCTACATTGGAAGCAGTGAACTGTGCTTCTTTATGCACGCGAAACTAGAAATGTTACACTTTGATGAAAAAAACAAAAAATTAAATATATTTTCACATAAAACACATACGTTCATTCAAAACAGAAATATTTATCGTAAATATCAATACAAAAATAACAACAACAACGTCAAACTGAAGATCATTGAAATTGCAAAACGAGCAACAAAACAGATCGAATATTTGTTTCAGAAAAACTCAACCTATTTTATAAGCGAATCTACACCCCATCCCAGAAATTGTTATCATTGGATTTGCTAGTGAAGCAAACTATTTTAGTTTTCTAGGAGTAGCTTTAGTATTCCATACATTCGACTCTTCCCCAGCTCAATATTCATCTCAAAGAATAAAAAGAATCCATGCAAAAACAAATATCACCCCAATCATTTTACCGTTCGCAACATATTCATCTTTAATTATGCATTTTTCATTTCATTCATGAATTCTCTTCACTTGTTTTGTCGCTATTCCTTCTTGCAACTCTTTCATAAATGTTCATAGATTAAGCGACGTAAGCGAGTGCCTTTCATGCCTGAACACTGAAATATTTGTGAGACTTATGATCATTTACATGAGAATGAAATTGAATTGAAATTGACCAATTTAAGGCATCCAAATTTAGCAGAACTTTGAACGAAATGATACAGTTCTCATTGGAGTTTAGCCAACAACAAAAAACGCTCTATTGACAAAAGCATTCAAAAGATTATAAACATTTTACAAAAATACTATTAGATAACATGTAATATTTTTATAATGCAACTTTTCGAAAATCTATTTATAAGAAGAACAAAAATATATTTATCACGAAAAATAAAAACAAAAAGAACATCATAAAAAAAATTAAAATTGTCAACGATATGTTATTGATCGATGTTGATGCGATTTTATTTTGGAGAGCTAACTTTTGTGACAAACACATACAAATGTTACGTTTGAGAAAAGCAATAATGTAAGACGCCTCAATTTGGGGCGCACAATTATCGAAATTGATTTGTACAATTGGGTTAAATTGATTTCCATTCACACCTTCACACCTATTTTATGGGATTTAGTTTGCTGGAGAATTTTGACATTCAAACTAATACAATATTTGAATCCATAGCTGAGTTTACTTTTAGTCACTTTTGTTCATAAATTATTATTATTATGCTATCTTCTAATTTTCTTACTGCGATTTGCAGGTAATATTATTGAATAAACTTACTTTATTGAAATAATTTGCAGCCAAACACTTACCGCGTTTCATTTCAACCATTGATTATAATCAAAAATAATTGTTATCTTATGGTAATAAGAAGTTCATAGACCAGTTGGGTTAGTATCTTGATATGCTGACACGAGTTAATGAATCTCCACATAATCTTGGGTGATCCTTACACGAAACATTCTTTAACCGTTTGTCTGTAATGTGGGGTCTATATGACCCCAGATACTCTAAATTCGCTATGACTTTTTAATTTCAAGTTGTATGATGTTATAATTTATTGACATCTTCAATCTAGTAGAAACACGCATTTTGAGCACTTATTTGTCAAAATCGGTCCATAAAAACCCGAGATATCTTGACTTGAAGAGAAAACTTACAAATGCTGTAAGATGGGGTCATATGGACCCCAAATTAAAGTGCCCATATTATTGTTAAAATCTTATTTTATCTCATTAAATCAAGGATATTTTTAAAATTTGAAGTTTTATCTTCATTTTTTGCCATATTTTGTTTAGATACGACAAGTAGTTTCATTGTTTTGATCTCTTCAAAATGGCACCTTAATTGATGAAATTCCAGTTTTCATCGAATTATTACATCTTATTGGTCAAAATTTTTCCATGTATAGTTCACATCAACTCGATATTATACTTATTTTATTCCTTTTGATACGCCCTTTCAAAAAACATAAACTTTTTTCACAAATATTCATAGATTTTTTGAAAATGAAGCAAAATAACGTCAAAAATGTGTATCTGCCAAACGATTCAAGATGGCGGACTAGTATGATGTTTTTAAAATCATCATATCTAAGTAATTTTTGGGTCAATATTGACAAAAATAGGCTTAAGAGATGAAGAATGCCTTGAATTATTGGATCAAAACAATGTTTTCAAGAAAAAAATTATTTTGGTTCCATTTTTATCGATTTTTTGTTGGGGTCCATATGACCCCACATTACAGCATTTGTAACTTTCGACTTATTACAGACAAACGGTTAAACATTTAGAATGTTCTAGAGTGGACCAGGGGCCGGTTACACCGTAAATCTGCAATAATTGTAAACTTGTAAATTGTAAATCTGATTTACAAGTTTACAATTCCTTGTAAAACGCTAGTTTTCAAGCATTTGCAATGAAAAATAGTTTTTACTTGATAAAATTCTTTTCAAAAAGTCAATTCGTGAGGCAAAAGTGAAATTATTCATTTAAATATTATAAAATAATTAAATTGTATCTATGGGTGAGATTGAGAGTAGTGTATGTTTGGTTGACTTTGTTACGAAAGAGAAGAGCAAGTTTCTGTCGACTTAAAAATGGTTAAAAGCGAGTATGTTCGTTTTTAGCGGGTCCTCGCGGTTTTTCACGGTTTCCGCGGAACTGATAAGAGATAACAACTTGGTGTCTTCGGCAAAGTTGTAGCACTCGAGGTCTTCTATAACATCGCTGAAGACAGTTATCTCTTATTTCTTATCAGTTCCGCGAAAAGCGCGAAAAATGATAAGAAAAAAAAAGTTCTATATAAAATTTGCTTTTTTATGTGCGCGATTTTCGCGCAACTGATAAGAGATAAGAGATACTCTTTCTTCAGCTTAGTTATAGAAGACCTCAAGTACTACAACTTTGCCGAAGACACTATGTTGTTATCTTTTATCAGTTGCGCGAAAACCATGAAGACCGCGGAGGCTAGACGGTACTACAACATACTCTACTTTAACGCCATCAGAATCATCAGAAAACATACTCGCCTTTTCAAAAATATAAATCGAAGAAAAAACATACTCCACTCTCAATCTCACCCATAGGTATATAAAAAACAAATAACCTCGTGCAGCTTGGCGTCATTTCCTCCACTTCCATATGTTTGCATTGATGTTTGAACTTTGACCAGTAAGCTTCTACAATGGACGTTAAATGCGAGTGGAGACGCCACAAAAATGACTCCAATATAGTCGATTATTGATCAAACTACTTTTGAAAATCATGACATAAATGGCGCTTCATTTAATGCAATCCACACACATTGTGATTCCGGTTACAGTTTTGTGTAACCACTACATAAAGCTACATACAACTGAGTGATTGTTAGTCATTTTATTTGTACACGGGTCCGTACTGAATGTGTGCAAAAGTATGAATCCTTTTTTTGTGTGTATATTCATCTTAAAAACTGTAGCATATTGTGCTAAGATACCAGAAAACTAAAATGCATGTGGAGAAGAAATAAAACATTTCGGTGGTAATTTTTGTATGAAAAATTTATTGAATCATTTTATCTTTGTCGTTTTAATTACAATCGTTCGCGATTATTTTCAAATAAATAATAAATTATGTTGGGCCTTGGGTTATCGTTTCTTTGAAATTCAAATAACGCATTGCAACAAAACAATATGGGATGCTAAGCAACAACTTAAAATGTCCCCAATTTCTCTTTATACAGATGAACTCATGAAAAACACAATAATTTACATTTTAAAATATTAAAAGCAAAATGTACAAAAATTAAATTTCTTGAAAAATAAAAAGTGTAAATAGTTATACGACTAGAGACTGTATGGTTTTCATTTGAATAGTTTCAAGTATCTTATGGAATGATTGTGGTTTTTTTGGGTTCGTTTTCCCCTCAATTAGAATTAGTGCGCTTTTGATTCGAACGAAATTTAAAATATGAACATAAAATATTTAAATGCATCGTCTCAGCAAAGGAATAATCAGAGATTGTTCTTATTATAACGACACACGGGAAATCCATCCAGTAAGTATTATGTGATTTTTATATCGCAGCATTTTACAGAAATAGCTACTTAGAATTGAATCGGTAAGAATAATCTTGACCTGCCAAATTGAGTGAAAATAAATGTGAAACATAGAGTTTTTTTTATATGGACTTTACAACAACATATCCATATAAAAAAAACTCTATGTTTCTTATTTATTTTCACTCAATTTGGCAGGTCAAGATTATTCTTACCGATTCAATTGTGAATATATCAACTTCAACCGTGATATGCGCTATGTTATCTATATCACTCATTTTATTGCCACTTCCGGTAAACAATTTCTATATATATTCTATTATTATTTTTTCAAATTACTGCGGAAAACCTCACGAGATAAAGTGTATTGTGATGGCTTATAACGTGTGTCGTAATAAGAATGTAAATCTGTTTTCCTCTTTGCTAAACACGATTTTTGATTTATTCCAACGAATCTCTTAATCCCGTAAACGTTATCGGTCTTTGGCAAGGGCGAATTACTACCGAATTGACTGAAAGTACTGAAAACAACTGATAACCTACTGAAAATATCTTCGTGATACTAAAAGGTACTGAAAACCAGTTTTCAGTAGTAATTGTTCCCTTGGTTTTTGGTCGATTGGGCCACTCGTTCAATTGAAATGACGCTTTAATTCGTACAAAATTTAAACCAAGTATCTTATCTAATGCTTATATTGAAGCGGTAGTGCGACATTCAAATATGTCATTCATCCAACCGAATTTATCAGTTGAAATCTGCAATTTTAAAATACATGGTAACGTTTAAAAGTTTGGAAATCAAAATTTAATTTTAAAAAACTCTAGAAAACGTCATTTAAATTTGGAATGTTGATTTTGTGCATCACACCTTTCGAATTGTTTTTGTTTGATTTTGTTTCTTTTTTTCTATGTTCTTAAATATAAAATGGAATTTTGTTTTCATTACGTGTTGAATTTCAACATTTTTGAGTATTGCTTGTAAGATTCGATCGAGTATTGGTGAAGTAAAAGATCAAAATTAACGCAAAATATTCGCATAATTCGTTTCTGTGTCCAATTCACTTCGTAGAATTCACCGTTCGAGGATGCGAAAATCATATCAAAAGTAATAAATTATTGGGGTTCGTAATGAAAGCCGCAAAGGTTTTCTTGTTTTTTTCTTACAAATTTACAGCTAGACCCGCTTCAGTGCAAATGTAAAAAGTTGATTTCGAGTTTGGCATTGGCTTTTGTTTGCTTGCTTCATAATTACTAAAAACTTTATGAAAAAGCGAATAATATGTACAGTTTGCCCTTCCACGGTTGAGCATCAATGTTTCTGTGTAATTAGTTTTTTTTTGTATCGTTTTAAGCATTGCCACCGCTGATGGGAAAATTCACGCATGTAATTGTACCAAATGTTCAAAAAAGTGAGTACGTACGAAGAAAATCTGTTCGAAATTCAATTTAAAAGCGATTTGTTGATCGCGATCGGCTCCATCCAGTTTTCCATTGTTGCATAAAATGCTAGGAGGATGTGCTAGGTGCAAGCATATCGCTGATGCTATGTCGCTGTGATCGAGACAAGCGTCTTAACGGAGTGTTAACGGATGTTGTGCTTGAGGGTTGGTCAAGCAAAGTTTCTGGACTGAATCGAACACGACTTTGCGATGATATCGATCCTTCTCTTGCACTCAGATAAGAACTGTCATCACTGGTCAGACTATCCGAGGGAGTTGTTTTGGTTGGACTCGTCTTGTGTGGTATTGCCAGTTGTTGTAGTTGCTGTTGCGGTTGACTGACTAAACTACTAGTGCCAAAGCGAGGACTTGGGTTTGAATATTTACGTAAGCTCGAACGCAATTTCGTATTTACACCAATATCAAATGGCAAACTATCCGGTCGTTCGAATTGTGTGGAATTAGACTCATTAGCAGTAGCCGATGTGTGTAAATAACTGTGGCTCAGGTCATGTGGCCGGGAAAATGGTACATTTTCGTAGGATCGCATTCGTGTATTTGCGTAATTTATCGGTGAAGTAGACGTCTTTCGATTTGGCATTTGATTTATGCGTCCGTATTGATAGTTTGGTTTTGTCTCATCCAGTTCAGCCTGTGGATAACTAACATTAGCCGAGATGCTCGACAATGTGCGACGATGATGCGAAGCCGCTATTCCCATTAGAGGTTTTCGCGCCGGTGTCATGGTGCCCATATTTCTCACGTAGTTCAAGTAGCTCTGGTTCGTTGAATTGTGGTATGGTTCACGGTATTGATGATAAGCAGTAGTTTCATAATCAGGGTACGACTTGTAATCTCTTTCGAACGCTGGATTGATCTCCGGATGATACGTAGGAAAGTAATTAGACCCTGCATATATACATTCAGAGAGTTTTTATGAGTCTCATTTCGAGAAAAAAATGTTCCATGACTTGATGCTCAAACACTTACCAAAGTATCCATAATTTCGATGTGCTCCCAAACTATCTTCCGCACCATAATTTGGTATTCGATTAAAGTAATGTGTGCTTTGATTCGACAATCGGTAATCCGAGTAATTACCAACGGTGTTCTGACTCTGATTGTAGAGCGCAGCAGGATTTTCGTTGGCTTCTTGTTCGGGTATTTCGGCAACATCAACAAAAGAGTTTGAGCCAGTCTTTCTTCTTGGTGATGGTGTGTTCTGTGTGTTGCTTGACCCGGATGTGTTAGTTGTATAGTTCGAACCCAGGCCACTCGTTGTCGAAATTGTCGATGTTAAATATGAGTCGGTAAATCGTAACGACCGTTCCTCATTCATTCCGGTGAGTGACGATAAATTTGACCTGAACAAAAATCAAATTAAATCCATTTTATTTTTAAAATAAATTTTGATGTGCCAAGCCGCAGTTTGCAGCCGTATTGATACCTTACCTTACGTGCTTCGTCGGCCCATGGTATGTGTTATGCGGGAAAGTACGTTGTGGAGTACCATATTCATTGTGCCCGCGATCAGCGCGTTCCGTATATTTGTCGCCGTCGCCATTCTCTTCGCTACCGTTCAGCATCACATGCGGTTGAAGTTTCGGATGTACAGGCGACACATTTGACATACGAACATCATATCCAGCAGCAACAGAGGCCAATATAGACGCCACATTATAGAATACCAGTTGTGTGATTGATGTTTTTGCTGGTTTCCGTTGTTGACCTTCTGGTGTTGAATACAGCGTTGGCATTGGAATATTTTTTTGTGCTGGCAATAAGTGATTTAGTGACGCATTTAACGGTGAATCGTTACCTGAACACCATTCATCTTGATAATAGTATGTTTTGTTTGTCAGTTTTCAAAGCGTATGCATGCATAAGAGAAAAAAGTTTACGAATAAGTTTGCACGTATAAGAATCATTCTCAAAAATTATTTGTCCGAGTTAGAATGTTTCATATCTCATTTCTACCAAATGATAACAAAATTAGTTTGGAAAGTAAGCAAAACTCCAAAGCAAAATAACTCTTAGAACAAAATGTTTAAATTGTGTGATCTTCAACAAGGAGCGAAATTATTTTGGTTAAAAATCAATTGGGAAAAACAATAAGAAAAAAAATGAATAAATAAAAATACCATAAAGTTTTAGGTTCCATAAAATAAAATGATCTTTTTTAATAGTGTTTCGGGTAAATAATAAAGTTGAAGCGATACATTTAAAATTTTGTGATCATGTAAATAAAATTGTTGATGTTTTTTTTTTTAAATAACTACGTTCAAAAATGTGAAAATAAAACAGAAAAAAAAAATCGATATTGAAATTTAAAAAAAAGAATAAAAACTTAATTTGAAAAAATTGATTGATCTTTGAAAAGGTTTTAGAAATTAATCAAAATATTAAACAATTCAATTCGAATACTTAAGTGTCTATTGTAGTTGTTGTAATGTATAATGTGTTTGATAGAGCTTTTCTGACGGTTTAGTACCGGCACCAGTTTTATTGTGAAAAGCGATAATATTTTCGTCTGTCTCAACAGCAAATCGATTTTATGTTCAACCGATTTGCCGATTTGTTGAGTTTATCATCATATATGGTCAAGTGGTTACTCATTGTAAATTAGCGTTATTGGATTTTATAGAACTTTTTCAGTTGGTTAATCATTGTGGTAAATATACTAAAATCAGTTTGTGTTAACACATTTTCAGCGTTTTATTTCAATAAATTTGATCATAATTAACCATACACCAAGTAGCAAAAAGAAATTTAACTGTGGTTTAACGTTAAAACCTTAGCAAGTAATTGTCATAAGCGACGCAAATGACATGTAATAATATAACAAAATAATTCGACCAAATTGAAAGTAAACACTGATACAATTCACACTTGACTGTCGGGTACGAATCTAAGCGATCAAAAATTAGCCGAACCATCGTAAGAACTAACTCGCTCGAAACACATTACACGTTAACAATTTTTCGCACAAAATAGAACAAACTCATTTTTTACGAACGACATAAATTTTGAATCGAATAAATAAATGTTGTAGGAAGAACAAAATACGACAAATCGCGAATCAACTAGGTAAAATTACCAATAAAAAAAAATAATGAAAATAAAATTGAATTCGTTTTCTCTACTCGAATTATACAATAATGGATTTAAGTGCTATTCTCTTAGACTATTTATGCTGCTTTGAATTTCTGCTCGTCTTCTGTTCAGAACAAGACCAACTAACTCTGAAAGTGTTTTTTCATCAAAGATGATGGCTTTCTAGGTGGAAACTATGCAAAGATTTTATTTTTTTTTATATCTACATTGTGCCTGCTGTATTGAAAGTGTATACTGTATAGTATATTATGTACTTGAAATGCAAAACGTCACACGTACATGAAACAAAACGAGGAAAGAACAATCAATTTCAATTTCAGTCGAAATGTAAAATTTTGATGTCAAGAAAACCCGAATAAAACTTTAGCTGTGCTATGTGTCGTTTTCATAAAAAAAGGGAGCGAATCTAGAATCCACTTAGTTCGAAAAACAAGACTGAAATGCATATATGCGTCTTCCGATTTAGACGTGTAAAATGGCATTTCGTTTTACTACTTCAAATTACAAATCACAGGTATGGACTTAAGCGAATCTTTCTCTTTGTGTGTAAACCATTTGAATGCGTACTATTATTACAGATGACACCGGGCCTGTAGCAAACTATGGCTTACGTTTTATTCTGTCCAATCGAAAGATTTTCTTCTATGAAATCCGAATACATGGCATAAATTTGCCACTAAATTTGTGCACATAGTTTACTATGTTAATCGAGAAGTTGCTGGTTCATATCCGTTTTGGCGGTCTTTTTGCTCGGAAGAATGCGCCATTTAATGTATTTCTTTGCGTTGCGTTCTTGGCTTCGTGTACCCTCTTGCGGTGCCATATTCAAAACGGTTGAAACGTTGGATTGATTTGAATTCGGGTGCCTAATGATGGCATATTGGCCAGTGATCTTTGTATTGGAGTAGTTATTTGTGGATTCATTAGATGCATCGCTTAGAAGTGAGTATTGTGCTGATTCATTGTCATCGCGGAATGTGACTGAATTTTTGCGTGATGTTGAGGCGGTGTCCGATGACGAATTATTTTGTTCGTCCGGATAGCTGAGCTCTCCGCTTGAAAATTTGTCAGAATCGTTTGGATTTCGTTCGTTGAACGAATCGATACTTTTTTGACTGAAATCTGGATTTGTGCTGGTGCCAGCATCGAACGATGAATCATTTTCATTGTCATCGCTTGGATCAACTAAAAAACATTCACGATCGAAACGTTCCCGTTCGAATGGTTGATTTTGGCATTGACCATACGCCATTGAAATATCGTCCAAGCTTTTTTGCATTTTACGATAAAAAACGCGATCATACGGCACATCAGCTAAATCGAGATCACCATTTTGTCTGATGTTTTCATCATCAACGCCCACTTCTTGAACATACGCGGCAGAACCAATGGATTTAACGGCCGTATGAAGCTCTTGCATTGGATTTGGATTGAGATTTGGATTTGGATTGGTTTCCACCATTTTACTATCTAAACTATGTTTCTTTCGTTTCATTAAACTATCATCGTTTCGGCTAATGAAGCTAAAACAACCCGGTGTCGCAACATCCTCATCATCATCATCGTCGTCATCGTAAATAGCATATCGATTGCCACTATTCAATTGGTCAACCGATCCTAATTTAGTCGAACTGTAGTTGTTATTATTTTTATTGTCGGTTGTGATTATGTTCAAACCGTCTACGCTTTTACCTAAAAAATTATTGTGTGACGAGGATGCGTTGGTCGGTGAATCATTTCCGGCTGGTCGGGATTTATCCAAGTTTGGCGCACTTTTACTAAAATGCAACGGATCTTGGGTCGATGTTTGACTTAAAGCCGGTAAGTAGCCGCGCACACGTGATTGATGCGTCGTAGATGGACCCCATGTTTTTCCTTTTATACCATCAGCCGGTACTAATTTGTTCACAAACATATAAGAAAATGTTGAAATTTTGTTGTTGGTTGCGACATTTGTTACAAAAGAAATATGTTTTTGATGTTGACAATAGACAATAGTGGAGCGGGCAGAGGGTAGACGGTATTGGTTTTCAATGAATGTTTAGTACGTTTTAGAAGATGGTAATGATTTTGATGTTATTATGATTCCCTTCACTACGGTTCAAGTGATTAGTTTTTATCAGTCACCATGGCATTTGTTTCTATCTTTTTACAGCATTCATGTTATTTGTTTTTTATTTTTTTGACATATGCAGATTACAATCTATACACCATACACCATACACATTGCAGAATGTTAGTCGGACTAAAGGGTAGGTTATCTTTTATTGGTTGTTTTAAACTATGTTAGCAATGCAACTTTGTTACATTTATCCATTTATTACATTCTACACGTTCGTTCAGGTCAATTTAGTACTGTCATTATTAAGCAGGCAATTATCGAAAATGTTAACAACGAAGGAGTCAAACCAAAGAACATCCATTAAGTGCAATGAAGAACAAAAGAATGAAAGAACAAAAAAAATAGGTGGATTGCAACATAAAGCGGTTGCAAACCAATCTGTCAGTCACGGGAGCAACCAAGCAGTAAAGCATGCGAAAGGATATTTCGGTTCGATGGGGGTGAGGGAAAATGCAGCCAATCTAAAAATAGAAATGATGATAATGCACCAAACCATGTCACAATTTATAGGTTTAGCAAAACTTGCAACAACTACAAAAACAAAAACAAAAACAACAAATACTACAGTATACGCTACAGTGATTATATTTCTGTTTTATGTGGTGTTCGTGCCACAATTTAATATACACGTGAAATTCATTTAAGCATTTTCAAAAGCTTGAGGAAAAAAACAAGAGAAAATTATCGTCTACGAAAAGCTCGCTCACTGAATAAGTGATAAGAATTTCATTCCCTTGCTGTGTGAATGAGAGCCCACATTGTGCGGCATTGTGCATTTTCCAACGTCGCAGCTACATAGCAACATGAACAGCAAACAGAGTGAATGTATGAAATACGTACAACATATGCCATGCAGAAGTGTCTATTGTAACTCAAAAACAATTGCAAAACTTGATGTCACGTACAAAATTTACGATTAATTTGGAAACTTACGTGCAACACGGAATCTTGAGGTGGCAGGTGAACCGGGCGGCGTACCATGCAAACTGGCATCGTTTTTGACTGTGCAGTTCACCACCGTCAGTGTATGTCGGAAGTCCAACGGAGACGAAATTTGTCCCGAATCTCGTTTTAATAACTAGCAACAGAAACCAGAACAAAATAGTTGTAAATGTTAAGTTTATGATTGTTGACGGTGTTTTATGCTCCTGTCAAAATTTGTCATGTTTCACTTGGTATTTACCTTTAGTCTTGATTTGCTGAATTTGCCGCGTCGTTTCAGCGGTTGCGGTGTGTTCTGAATAATCATCATTTCCAGTTCACGATGCAGTAGATCTAGTTCGCGTGCATCCAACTCCTCTTTTTGTTTGCGCAGTTTTTGCTCTGTTTCGTGTTGTTGGATCTGTTTCCGCTTCAGCTCGTCTTCTTTAAAACGTAGCTCCTTGGGTTAGATAAAAAATAGGTAATTTTAATTCATACGATAAAACAAAATGCCATACGTTTGTACAAGATGACTGCGATTGAAAAAAAAAATGAATGAAACATTTGATCAACAATCGAATGGAAAACAAAAACGATAAATGATCGATCAGATTGACTACATTGTAGCATAATTGATTAATAAAAAACACCAAGTCAAAATAAAAATCTTGCAAATATTTTTTTATTATACCATTCCGACCTACATTTAATTGAACCGTTGCGACAAAAAAATTCCCACAGAATATTTGAGAATTGAATCGAAG